TTCCGCCACCTCCACCCTCTGCTGCCGCTCCACCACCGCCTCCCCCTGGTGTTTCCCCACCTCCCCCCGGCGCCCCTCCAGGAGCGGCAGTTAGGCTTGGATCGGCCGCAAACGGATACTGCTCAATCGTATATAGTAAATTAGACCCGGGCTCCAATTGATAGGTTTGCCTAGAATCCGGACCTGCACCCCACAATTAGCAAAAAAGAGAGAAAAAATGAAGAACCGCGCGCATAAATAACGAAAGCAACATCAAAGAGCACAAACCCCCAACATAAACCTTCGATTTCGCAATGACCACCCTATCCCTCCAAGAATAATTCCCCAACTCGGGATCCCCCCTCCTGATAAGCGCCGGCAAGACTTCACATATTGGCTTCCCGGCACACCCAACAACGTCTGGCCCGGGCGAAGACTGTGCAAACCAGGCATCCATGTTAGCCCTTTCGACGGGAGGCACGTTCTCGGGATAATTCACGATGGTAAAATGCCTGTGGTCGAAGCTCATCATCGACGGCAAATCGTGCACCAGAGGGTGGATGTTTGTCCGCTGGCAGCGCATCATTATGGCGAGGTCGTACGCCCTCTTGATGATGTCCCAGAGCGAGGCCTTGTGAAGGCGAGGGTTTGCGCGCCAGGTCGCGTCCCTTACTCCTGGGGTGGCCTCAGCGGCGGGCCTAGCGACGGTGCCGTCTGGGTTGAGTATCTCTGCGACTTCGTGCATCGCCCCGGTGAGCGTGTGCCCGAGAGGGTTTAAGGTGTCGATTATCAAGTTACTGACGTTGCTGCGCATTTCTTTGAATTGGGGGTTCGTCGGGTCAGTTGAGAGGGAGAAAATGGCGCGCATGAATTTTGCGCGGGAGGTGTTCAGAATGATGTCGTCTGAGAGTTTGAATTTTAGCAAAGCAAATCCCTCGCAGGTTGAGGGGAGGGAGAAGTTACCATCGTTATCCCTTGTAGTCCCAACTGGCTCATCATCCTCGAACGTTCTTAAGAAATTGAACTTCTGCAAAGAGCTCTTGATCCTCTTCCTCGGCGGGGGTCCGTCCTCGTTAACCTCAGGATATAGGTGCCCTGATGGTGGCTGCTTCCTCTTCCTTCCTATAAACGACTCCTTTTCCTGAAATCGGGGCTGGTAGGCATTATTGGTCATATCGCGCACCTCAAACGCAATCTTGTATTGCTTCTTGAACTTCCACCTCTGGGTGGCGTCCGTGAACCTAAGCCCGATAATGAACCTTATAGGCTCAAATATCTCCTCGACGAGGATCCGGAAAACGACAGCAGTAGCAACATCCGCACGCCCACCTGGGTTTGTCCCGCCCAGATCATTGAGGAATTGGGACACGTAGTCCCGGTGGAGGAGAACGTCACGGAGGTAGAACCCCAGAAGCTGAACATCATTTACCAGAGAATCGTAATGCACAAACGTGCTGTGATCCCGGAAACCATAGTATGTTGTGCACCAGGCGCGGACATTGTCGTAGAGATCGTTCCACTGACGCAAGAAGTAGTCATCTGGAAGATCGTGAATCGCCGGTATCGCCTCTTTTTGCAGGGAGATGGCGAACTGGCGAAGGTCCGGGCAGGGCATCATCCGCAGCCTCTCTGTCCGAAGCCTCGCCAGGTGGTGGAGGTCCCTAGGAGGGGTTAAGGGGTGGGCCCCGGCTTCCAACATTCCGCTTTCGATGATCTCGATTTCCTTATTGATTGTCCTCCACCTTTGGAGATCGACAATGTTGTTGTTCTCGGAGAGCTGGGCTCTTAAAGCGTCGTTTTCGGCCGTTAGATCTTCGATCTCTTCGACCCTCAGACTGGCTGCCCGAGAAATTGTCTTCCGAAGCTTCCTCCTTAACATGGCATTCGTGGTGGCTCCGCGTTCGGCACCAGCCCACCGGCGTTCGTGTTCTTGGAAGTCACTCTGCATTCTATTGACGGCTTGTAAAGCAGCTCCAGCGGGCCCAACTGGACCGTCTGCGCCGGGGGTGTCGGCCGACAGGACATAATTCATCAGGCCCCGCATCGCCTGCCCGAGCGATTGTTGCGTAGAGAGTGACCTCTCTAGCAGGATTCGGTTTTGGTTGAGTTCCGCCCGTACCTCATCACAGCTCATGAGTTCCCGCATCTGCTCGACACCGGATGCCATAGCTTCATATCTTGCCATATCCTCCGCCGACGTAGAACCCTCCAAAAGGCCTACCCTCATCTGTAGTCTCTCAACCTGCCCACGAAGCACCGCGCTCTCACTCACGGCCCTTTCAAGTTCGAGGTGGATTCCTTCGAGGTGAGGGACTCTGGCGGTCGCTTGCCCCAAGCCAGCTGTTTGTTGCTCATATAACCTAGCGGTGATAGCCAAGCGATCGACCTCTGCCCTCATGCTTGCTATCCTCTCCCGCAGGATCCGCTTTTCTGTTTCGCACCGCTCATGATCCCTCCGATTCTGGTCCCGCAGCCGGTCTTTTTCTTGCTCGTTATCTCGGTTGCTAAGCATAGCATCCTCGAGCATCCTTCTCTTTTCGTTCTCGCAATCCAGTTGCTGTTGCACAAGCTCTTCGCCCATTTCTACGACTCGAACTTGCGCCTCTATAAGCCTTATTTCGGCCTGGAGAGACTCTTCTTCTTGCGCCTCCTCTCCTCCTATATCTCCCACCTCTCCTGCCCCCGCTGTATCTCCCGTCGCTGTTTTAGCTCCCCCCACTCTACCTATATCTCCTGACCCTGCTGCTCTAGCCGCTGCCGGCGCCCTCTTCTTTGACCTAGCTAAGGCAGCAACGTCATCCGCTCTCCTCCTCTCTTCCAACTCCCTCCGATCAAACTCCCGCTTCTCGGTATCGTTCATCGCAGAATACGCCTCCTCACGAGCCCTTCTCGCCTCCTCAGCGGCAGTCCTATCACTCCGGACCTGCTCAATTGCCCCCACAGTCCGGATAAACGACTTGCCTTCCGGGAGCGCCCCGGGAGGATTCGGCTTCCACGGACGCCCGGCTAGCTGTAGGATCCGATCATACGCCTCGGTTTGGTCCTCGCGCAGGTCGATGTACAAGTTCCGCAGGATCACGTTCTCTTCCTCGATACCCTTCTGCTCAATCTTCATGACCCTGATCTCACCATTCAACTCTGCCACGTCGAGCCGCAGGGATTTGATCCTGCGCCGCTCATCAGCGCAGAGTCCACTCTTGTCGAAGGGGCCAGAAGGCGCGTGGAGGGTGAGGGGGCCAGACCTCACTGCACCTATGCTTGTTATACTTACGATTTTGTGCACAGCAAGGAGTGCCTCACGGATGCTCGATCCCAGGGTCCGCTTTACGGTTACGGGTGCGGCCGTTTCCAGCGGCATCTCGATCTCCTCACGATCCCCCCCTGCCTCTTCCATTTCCAACATCCGCATCACCATGACACTATCCATGTTTACATCCAGCCCGCGGGTCCTCGCATCATCGACCAACAGATCTTCGATCGATCTGACGAGCTGATCCTTTGCCCTGAGTAGCTCCGCTACGCTCCTGAACCACTTCGCCCTGTCCCCGTCCGGGAAGTCAATACCTCGCTCCTCATCTTCGCGCTGAAGCAAGAGCCGGTCGAGCCTCGCTATGGTTCCGTTGAGCTCATTGTTTTCTCTCTGCGTGCGTTCATACTTGGCTGCGATGTCGGCCAAGTCCTTGAGCAGGGCCTCTCGTTGCGCGAGCGTGGCACCTAGCGCTACCTTCTCCTCGTTCATAGCCTCCATTTTGCTTTTAAGACTGTGGACATCGCTTTCCAGCTGGGCTCTCGTTGCTGGCGCCGCCGCCGCCCGTATCCTGGCACCGCGCTGTCTGACTATTTGGTCTGACATCGTTGCCGGCGGGTTTTCTCTTTCTCTCTCTCTTCTTCTCTGCCTGTTGATTGCGTAGATCTTGTGACCGATGATATGGGACAAAAGGAGGGAGGGAGGGAGGGAGGGAGGAACATCCAATCGAACGGACTCGTATGACGGAAAGCTCACATTGGTGGGTACGCCGAAATAATATCCTTGTGAGCGGCTTTGTTGTATATGGTCCGCGGGTTATTGTCCCTTCCAACAAAGAGATTCAAAGACTCAACCTCCCAATCCATCCAATCCGCCATCCCATGCCATCAACCGTCTCCACCAAATTCCGGACCAAAAAATGTGTCGAGTGAGTTCTCATGATCGGTTGTCTCCCGATCACAAAGAGAAAGACACGGTACCGGCAGGGAAATCCGCAAAATGCGAGAACAAAAGGGAAAATAAATAAATAAATAAATAATCTTATTGTCGATTAGAAAACAAAGGGAATCCCAACAAATGAATCTCACGCACCTGGCCCGAAAAATCAATTAAACAAACGGTTCCTTCTGCATAGTGATTGTCGTGGTCTTCCTTTTCTTCTTTCCCTGCCCTACAGGTCTTACTGCATTTTTGATTTATTTTTTCTTTCATTCGTTTTTTCCCTTCCTTTGTTGCCTACCGGTAGATTCTCCAGAGCCCAAGCCAAAATGCAAGGGAAAAGAAGAAAAGAAAAGCGCCCCCAACCAAAGTAGAGCAAACGCCAGTTACTCAATCGAGATAGTTCCCAGCACTTTCATTCTCAACTGCGTGGGAGGGACACGGCATGGTACGTACTGTACTCCCCCCCCCCTCTCGCTTTGGGTGAGTCAAACTCTCTTCTTCAGCATGGGAGGATTTCCAAAAGATCAATTGGCGGTTGATTCGATTGACTCGTTTTTTTGTCTGTCCCTATCCATCAGGAGCCGAATTGGTTGCTCAAGGTAGGAGACTTACGAGTACAGGGCCTGCCCCCGGCTATATGCAAGGTGATTGGCTTCCTACGAGTGCCGCAGTACTCGAGTGGTCCGGGGGTAACCGAGATGGTAGAGTTCGGCGACGTGTTTATTGCGCTCTCGCGGGAGCGATGGAGACAATGAAAATGAGCAGCCCGATAGACACAGTACCATAAATTTAACCAGTGAAGGGGAGGTGCAGGAGGGATTCTCCACTTTGGTTTGAGTTCACGACAGCAAGTTGATACCTACTACCGGTAATTATGCTAGTTACAGAGTAAACAAATGGTGACCATCAAAAGAAAAAGGGAAAAAAAAAACAACATGATGGGTAAACTACTTTCAGTTATCATCTCGCGAACCAACCAACAGATAAAGAACACAATCCTCCGCGCGATCCCTCTCACATGCTTAAGAAAACCCCGTCCCCCCCCCCCCCAAGAAAAAAACCAAACGACAACAACTTTCGGAAAATCACACACAATCACAATATCGTGCACCCCCCTCGGTTTGGGATTCGCTTGGAACTGTTCAGTGCAACCCTAGTAGCCTCCTCAAACACCGGCTTCACGTTATCGTTGGTCTTAGCCGAGCACTCGATATAGGTCGTCAGGCCTAACTGCTTTACCGCGTTCCTTCCGTCCTCCTCGGTCAATGGCCTCTTTCCGCCTTCCTCCTCCCACAACCGTCTCTTTGTTCTCTCGTCGTTTCGTAGATCCTTCTTGCACCCCACCAGCACAACCGGAAGCCCTGGGCAAAAGTGTCTAACCTCTTGAATCCATTTCTCGTAGACGTTCTGTAGGGAGTCGGGTGAATCGATACTAATGCATATCAATATCACATGGGAGTCCGGATAGGATAATGGGCGGAGGCGATCGTAGTCCTCCTGGCCGGCCGTATCCCACAATGCTAATTCGACGTTTCGCCCGTCGGGTAGGTGTACGTCGGCCACATAATTATCGAACACGGTCGGGATGTATCCGTCGGGGTCGAAGGTGTTCTTGCTGAAGCGCATCAAAAGGCAAGTCTTTCCGCAGGCACCATCACCAACAATCACCAGCTTCCGGCGTAAAGCACCCTCGCCACCGCCCTGCTGTCTGGAGCGTCGTTGACTGCGCTGCAAAACAAATTAGTTTCCCCCCAAAGTTTGCGGCGGCAAAAATACGCACCATCACTATGCCGGTATGGTATGATGGCTTGAGTTAGGGACCGGATGGGTTTTGCTTGTTTGCCTGTATGTTTGTTCGTTTGACAACGATGAATTCCAACGGTCGGATGTTGAGGACTTTACCGTGAACCAAGGGGAAGAAAGGAGAAGAAGAGAAATCAGGGAAAGCATGCAAAGCCGGGGGAGGGGGATTATGTATGCAGAAAAAAGTAAAAGGCCAGGCACCTAACAGGCTGCCTTGCGGCTGATTCTGGGGGAGGAGAGGTTCCCCACCCCGCACGTCATTGGTTGGAAAGTTGGATATGGTGGCAAGGCTGAGCCATGTCTACGGCCTGTTATCCTTGCACTGTGCGGCACTCAATACTTGTACCGTACTTTCGAGGAATGCATCCACCCCTTGGCCAATTTACCGGTAGTTATTTGCTGGCCTTTCCCGTCAGCGGATTGGCGTGCATACAGAGCCTCAGACTTAAGAGAGCCCGCAGGAAAAGCTGAGTCCCTTCATACGTGTCGGGGGTCGTACCGGTACCTCACCGCGGATAACGAGTCCAAGGGTGCCGTACCGTAGATACCGTTCTGCACTGTGCTGTATACTACATCCAAGACTCCCCGGTGCTAGCACCACCGTACGAGTATTGGAAGGGATGGGCAGAGAGAGTCGGATGGTGCCCAGCTCTTCCAATTGTCCATCTACACTACAGTACCATACGAGTACTTGAACATTGGATTCTGATCCAGCCTTATGAGAGCCCCACATTGTGGGTAGATTTGCCGTATGATACTTGTACAATACCCGCACAAAAGGTGGGCACCACAAACGAATCCCCACAAACCAGATTTCAAAGACCTGCCAATTCTCGCCACTCAATAATCTTGAGTCGCCAGATCAGACCGCAAATCCCAATTCTGTGCTCTTGGCAACTCTCCACTTCCGGATATGGCGGAAAGGTACGATAAGAGTACCGCAGGAATACTTGTACTTGTACCGTACTCATACTTCCGCTGTCGTGTATAGTGGCGATATGCCGGCTCGGAGCCCCCCCCGCCACTTTCTGACGGCTATCATAACGGGAAGCCTTTGCTTATGCGCTGGGGAGTGCCAGCAGAGATTGGGATACTACATCTGTTGATCGATGCATATCTCTATGCAGACAAAGGGTATTGCCTTCCAGTTTACGGACACACCCGAGCACCCGTTCTTGCCAAAACACAAAGCCTATCCCTGAGATATAGCGTGCGGGGGAAAGGGGATCACTTCGGTTTCCGCAGGTCTATGAACAGGAGAATTCTCCCGAGAGTTACCACCCACAATCCTAATATCCCCAAAAAAACAACTGCCCCTTGAAGTGTTGTGAGGTGATGAGAGGTGCGTAAATCCGTTCCGGGCCGTGATGTAGTGGTTGGTTACGCCTGGATACCGGTACTGTAGAGGTCGGGACACACCCTCTGTTCTGGCAAGTGCTCAAGTGCAGTGCCAGTACCCCACATGCCTACGATACAAGGGTTCAGCGCTGACGAACCACAAGGCACCTTCGCAGCGACGAATTCTCCCGAAATCCCATTGCATGGGCCATGGGATCATGATTCCTACGGATGCAAGGATTATGGACTAAAGTGATCATACCCCATCACCCGATTTTGTCACTGTATGTGACCACAGGCTGCTGCTCCACAAGACCCCCCCATACCTAGTCTGAACCCTTCTCAGACGAGCGTGATTTCAAGAGTTTCGGCCCGATACTCCTTTGCCAATGATTTCGGCTACCAAGTAGGTCCTCGGAAGAAAAATTCGATAGCTCACCATGTAATCACAGTCCTTAGATGCGGGCACTGGTAATAGATCCAGAAGTGTAGATAAACCGGTTGATATCCTAAAAATAAATAAAAAAGTGAGCTTAGAGCGTCATTCGCATGGCCACCAGATGATTACACCGGGAGCATTTGCTTACCATACTGTGAATGGGTTTCATAAATTGGCATCATCGAGAGCGCATCGGAAAAAGTCGCCTCCGTAGGGACAAGATGAGGAGAGAATAGGAAAATAGACGCGGGGGAGGGGCAAAAGACTCGGCCATGGTCCAGCGCAATTACAGAAAACCTCTCGACCCAGCCAAGCTCGCGATCCAGGGTACGGGTAAAACGTTCACACTGATTGTCCACAGTCCGGGTACCGTTTGCAGTGGGGTTGGGTGAAAAGCGATTAACATTTCTTGGCGTTATGGTACTGGTGGTACAATCACCTCTCAAAAGTATTGTCCCACATCGTGCATCAACCAAGTGCCCTAAGGTGACCGAAGGTACAACAACCAGTCTATCTTCACCAATTGATATCCAAATTAAATGAATTTACATTTAAATTGATACTGATTGATTACACTTTAATACTTTATATAGTAACCATGTGAATTATGCACCGCATGTAGGCGCCGTGGCATACACCTGATCAACCTATCAATTAAAGGTTGAGGAACTGCCCACCAAGCAGCATTCAGGACACCCTCGAATATCAGCCAGTTGACATCATTTCTCTTTAGCTTCCAGAGATCAGGGTAGTCCTTTCATAAGATAGCTTTCATTGCTTTCCAGACGTGCTCGATCGGGTTCAAATTGGGACTATGTGGAGGGTGTGGCTGTAGCTCGATTTGGTGACAACTTGAATGGAACCAGGCCATTGTAGTTTTTGCTGTATGAATCCGGGTATTGTCTTGAAGAAAAAAGGTACCAGGGCGATAGCAGGGAAGTAGCCCTTCCTGGAGAGTTTGAATATAAGACTTTGAAGAGTAACCCTTATGTGCAGCATCCTCATCCCTATACATGATGATCAAGTCTGACCAGCCCCCTATCCAGATGCATCTCCCGACCATCTGGGACCACTCTGACTTGACATGCACCGGTAGATTGACCTTATCTTCATTATACTTTTGATGCAGCAGACAAAAGAGCCAGTCATTTGGGGTGGAAGGATCATTTTGTACGGTCGATTCATCGGAGTAGGTACCCTGAAAATTCTTCTTACTGGAGCCGACATAATCTGAGAGATTTTAGTGGACCTACCTCCTCCAGCATTTGCATCATTCCTTTCAGGGTTTTTGCGTGAGCTAGCCTTTTAGCTACATCAACCTTTTTCAAAGGAATCTGCTTCTGTGCCCTCCATTTGCACCGGTAAGGAGCCCCGATAGCACAGCATAGGGTGGACTGACTGATGGCAACAGGGCTATCAACTACAAGCGCCTTCCACAAGATTCTGGGATACCGCTTAACCATTAACTGGGCGTATCTTTCACCCTGAGCCATAAGCATCTTCGGCCGCCTGAACCTAGGGAGTACCCCAAAGGTTTGGTGATCCTGCCAGCGTTTTACTGTACATGAGATTGTGCGGCAATCACAATCAAACTCATCTGCCAACTCAATTTCTGACCGACCATTCTCCCGTCCTGCAACAATGGCTGCACACTCAACAGGAGTCAGATCTTTGCAGATCCCACGTGAGGTTCTCCCCTTTGCGCTCAATTGTTTACCAAAAACTAGCATTTTGAAGTTAGATTGATAAAGTTGTAGTTGTTGGAACATGGGGGAGGTGGTTGCCAGTTGTCATGCAATTTCCATATGGTCGTATTTTAGGTCGCAGTGTGGGACAATACTTTTGACAGGGGAGTATAGTATTCACACTGGTTCTCACCGAGGTTCAATACCAACTTCAACATACGGTACTTGAAGAGGCATCTTGAGTATGTTCCGAATGGAGAGATTACATGGTATTGTTCCTGAAAGAAACCGGTCCTTACTCGAGTACTATACACGTCACTACAAGACCTCCCAAAGAATGGTGCTACATGGCAGATTGATGGAAGAGAGCTGCACAAAAAGGTGCCGAGTAGTACTTGTAACTGAGTAACTAACAGGCAAGAAACGAGTGGGCCAGGATCCGTAATCCCAGGGCAGTTCTCATCATCGTGGGAACATCCCAGAATCCAGTTATCCACATGTCCTCACCCGCAATTAAGACCACGGTATACCCCGTCCATCTAAGGTCAATCAAGAAGTCTCTATCCAGGCACCACGTACAGACATGTCTGTCCTGTACGAGCACGAGTACCGTATATTACTAGTGCAGCGGATGGTTTAAATCACGCACAACTGTTCTGGTCAGCATGCTACGGTACCAATGAATGCTGCACGTGATCGCCAGGTCGTCCGGAGTTGTCCCTCCCCCTCCTCGGGGACCCACTAAAACATCCAGGCCCCACCATCGGATGAGGAGAAAAGAAAGAGAGAGAGAGGGGGAAAAAATAAATAGATCATACCAGTATCATACCGGTACGGTACGGTGAAAGTACGGTAAGGTTGGATTGTTTTACTCGAGTGGATTACCGTAATCCCGGCTCGCAATGGCCTTCGAGTGGGCAATTCTTGCGGACGAAACATGAATACCGGTACTCGAGTACCGGTACTGGTCTGATACGGTACGATACTGTTCTGCTCGGTGCACGCACCTCTCAACTGCCGAAAAAAATCTTCCTCCCAAGGAGAAAGGGGTGGAAAAGGCTTGGGAAGAGACTGCCAGTGACTACTCTCTGATTAATACCGTATCAATACAGGGCGCTGGCTGTGGGTTCCTCCTGCCTACCTTTTTCCTCTTTCACTTGCATCCGGTACCGTTCCTACGTATTATAGTGGGTGGTGTCAGAGGACTCAATGCGCAGCGGGGAATGGAAGACGAAGTGGACAAAATGTGTGAAACTATGGCAGTAAACCGAGCAGCTATGAGAGGTAAGGTAAAAGAATGGCTATGTTCCTTCTTTCCAAACTAATGGTAACAACAGACATATAAATGAAAACACAAACAGTAAACTCTGACTCTTCTATCGATCACCACACCAATCTCTATCTCTCCATGCATGCTCTCCTTTCTACCGCACACTCCCGTAATAACAAAGGAAAGACATGTTCAATGAATCTGTTCCGCCAATCTCACAACCTCATACAGCAAGACTTCCGAACCTTCCACAATCCATCCCAATCAATCCACATTCTTCCATGACCTTCAACACTACGCGCCTACGCGATGGTTCACTTTTGTCTCAGCCCTTACTGCTGGACAAGCAAGGAAATGCGCGGTCCAGTGATCACGGATGAGCACGTGAATGCTGCACCGGCGGAGGAGCCTGTGGTCATGATTCCGGAGACGGGCACTACTCGTACCGGTAGAGGAGTTTGGCCCTGGAGTTGAAGAACGTTCACGAGTGCCGCGGATTGGACTGATTTTTTATCCGGGTTGAAGGATTTGCATGCAAGCCTGGTAGACCAACCAGAGGCTTGGCACGTGAAAAACGCTGTTTCAATTCCGGGGCTGAGGGCTTCTGGTTGAACCTTGCATTTTGCTATCATGTCATATCATATCGGGATGGAATGACTTCATGGGTCATTCCCTGCCCTTGGACCCAGCTGTGCTACACGAGAACCGGGGTGGGGGGAGAGATGAGGGTGTGGAAAGCGAGCGTGAGGAGCTCGCACGTGCAAGCTTCGCGGCTTCGGGGTAGATCTACTGTATGTACGAGTACTAGTATGATACTAGTACGAGTACGGCACGGTTGCCGCTTGCTTTTGATTGAAATACGGTACTTTGGTGGAGGGAATATTTCTGCAGAAAGCTCTGGCCGTGCACTCTCCCATGCTCTATTGCTCTATTATCAGGGACCTCTAGACCAAGCTTCTGGCAGGAGCAGGGGAATGTTGGTTGGTGTTGATCGTCAAGGCAAGGATCGTTATCGAACAGTTGCCAAGGGATCAACCCGCAATGCGGAGGGGCTAAACAAACCAAAACCATTGCTAAGCCAGAACAAATATCCGGTTGCTCCGGCTACACCGGTACCTTTCCGAACATCTCCATGAAGGCATGGGATACCGGTACCGTACTCCTATTTCCTCCCTGTTAGTGTGTGGAGAATTGCCCGCTCTATCATCTGATATTATAGAGCCGTAATTTCTCATCGGAGTGGTGGTGGAAGATTGTCACGAAAGGGGCAAGGGATACAAAACCAGGCGTGTTGAATGGACTGTGCTGAAGATTGGCATTGTGATATGTCAGCCTTGTCTGCTGCACTTGTGCTGTACGAGGACCGGTACAAGTACTGTACTCGAGTACTTGTAAAGTACTCGTACAACGCTCTACTAGATATGACCGCTCCCGAGTTGGCAATGTACCGTACTTACTACTATAGTCCAGAAGGTGTGCTTGGTTGGCAGCTTGGAAATGAATTTCCGGAATAAATGATCCTTAGAGTTAAAGAGAAAACCGTACTACAGTGCTGGTGGGACGGTGCGGTCCCACTTGGTCTTCTGCTTGTGGTGCTTGTGGGAAGCAGTGAGGTTTCCGTATCCTGAGGAGGCTTTGGCCCATGCTACCAGTCCCTTCACACCTCTGCCCCCTTATCTGCCCCTGGAAGTCGTGCATCTGTCCATTGGCTATAGTCTACACCGCCGTTCGATGAGGTATTCAAATGCTTTTCAAGTCCACCAAAGTTCCTCCCCCTGCTTAACCGAATCCTCTTTTGTCTTTCTGCAGCTTCCGTCTGTTGCGTCGGGCGGTCACCAACATAAAAGTTACTTGTACGAGTACTTGTATGCTCGGATGTCTGAGACCACACCCCACACAGACAGGGCCGGCGGGCATCGGTCTGAACGCCACAGCCAATCGACTTCTTGCTTGTTTTAGGTGCGCCTCTTACCTCCTGCCTCTCTGTCCCTCACCGTGTCCGAGGAAACATGAGCTGCCACGGTGTTCGAGCAAGAAAAACGGGGAATCCTCGATTGAGACTTTTTTTCGCTTATTTTCTCCTCCTGTTTCCGCTCCTTCTCCCGCGTCCCCCCGTTCTTCTCCCCTTGCTTCTGCTTGTTCAACCTACCGGTACATGCCGATAACTAAATTTTATCTTGTTCTCGACCAACTTGCTCGCATATCTGTACATATTATACATAATCGTGCACCACCCGCCCCGTCTGGGGTTAATTCTTTTCCCTTTGTATTTTTTTTTGGCGCATCAAGGGTTCATTGCACAATCTTCCTACGATAAAGAGGGATAGGGAAGGAGAGAGAGAGAGAGAGAGAGTTTCCTCTTCACCCTCGCCGGTCAGTTAACCTACCGTGCTACCCTACTTACAGCAACAGAGGGAGCTTCACCAGACGTCTCGTAAGAGATGTCCGACTCCCACCAATCAATGCCTCCATCCCCGCCTTCGCAGCTCCCAGCTTTGGATACCGAGGCGGACGTTAGTTTTTGCCTCTTCCACCACCACAATCTCACTTGTCACGAAAAATGCTGATGTGTGTTTGCTTGTTTGCCAGCCACATGACTACTCTGATGTTGATTCTGGCTTTGGTGCTTCTATCCCGAGGACGTGCGTAACTTTACCCTTTGTCCTACCAGTCGACGTGCATCATGCAATGCCTGCGGCTGACTGACAGAACGGGAGCCAGTGAGAACAGCTATTCCGTGACAACGGGCTCTGGAGTTTATCCCTACGTTTATGAAAATGGACGTCGCTATCAGGTTTATCGTGAAGGGGTATATATGCTTCCCAACGACGTTGAGGAAATTGAGAGATTGGATCGCTTTCATGATGTATTTCTCGCCTTGTTGGATGGGAAGCTTTGCATTGCCCCGGTGGGACAGGGCGGGCATAGGATGAGACACGTATTGGATATCGGGACGGGGACGGGGACTTGGGCAATCGAGATGGCTGAGTGTGTTTACCCGATAAATCTTGTCTCGCATAAAGTGTTGGCTACTGTAAACTGACGTCTTGGTCACAGGGAGTTTCCGGACGCCAAAGTGATAGGGAATGATCTTAGCAAGATACAGCCGCCATGGTAAGTTTACGGTTTCTGCTTCGCCCCGCTTGGTCACCTGGCATCATCCTTATTAGCCGGAGGGGCAATAGGGGTAACCCTGTTTTGTCTGGAGTGAAGGGTAGGGGCTAACGCAGGCCGCCTGGTTTGCGTGGGGGATATTTGTATAGGGCCCCTAAGAACTGTGAATTCGAAATCGACGATGTCGAAAGTGACTGGACATATCCCGAAAACCACTTTGACTTCATCCACCTTCGAAGCTTAAGCGGGTGCTTTAAAGATTGGGACATGGTGCTAAGGAGATGTTACGCGTAAGTCATCCACTGTTCGCTGGGACCTCCGTGCCGTCCATCAATCTGACGAGCCTCCCCTCAGTCATACCGCCCCCGGCGGATACATCGAGTTCCAAGACTACGACGCTATCCTCAATTCGGCATTAGGGGCCATACCAGATGGTGCCATCTCACGGTATTGGGGGCTGGTCTCTGAAGCCGCGTTGTCAACTGGTAGGACCTTCCAGGTAGCTTCAACCATCGAGGAGCGTCTCAAAGCAGCCGGATTTGTCGATGTTACCGTGAGGAAGGAGATGTGGCCGATGGGGCTATGGCCGAAGGACGAGCGTATGAAGGAGATTGGTCGCATAGGGAGGATTGGACTCAGGAGTGCTTTTCACGCTTTTGCCACAGCGCTGCTCACGAGAGTGCTAGGTTGGGATAAGGCGGAGGTAGAGAAACTTTGCCAGGAGGCGATACAGGAGGTTAATGAGGGGAGCGGGCAGCTCTACGCTACTGCGTGAATCCATCCCCGGCTTCCTCCTACATACCGGTAGCTAACGAGCCACAGGTACTACGTTTATGGCCGCAAACCGTCCTGATGCCAACATGTTGGAGGGATAGGATTGGTATCTGTCAATCAAAAACTCAGCCAGCAACAAAAAAAGCAAAAAAAGCCTCGGATCCACATAGCATCCTAAGAGATTGGGTGGGTGATTGAGTGTTTTTGCCTCGTTTGGTTTGCCTCGGTTTGCGTTTTGGTTTCGTTTTAGGATCTGTGGCATCTTAGGGCCGTTTCGTTTGCTTTTGGTTTATCGCTTTAAAGAAAGAATTTCCTCAATTTTCCCCATCTCAATCGTTCTTTTTGGACAGACGAACCTTGAACTTTGGTTGTATAATAAAAAGAGGGGGGAGGGGTTTTGGCCAGCTTTACTAAGGGGGTATATTATTGTATGCATGTTGGTATGTTAGGTGTGGGAATTACAGTGCGAGTGATTTATTGTGGATGGCCTGGTGCTTACTCGTGGGGTGCGTCTGATCGCCCTCAGTTCCGGAAGGTGCTAAAATTGCAAAACACAAATTGGAACCTGCAACTGTGGTTATCCCAAGATTACATAATCTATGTAAATAGTATCTGTGGTGTGTCAGGTTGGCGCATAGATAAAAGCCGAGAAGTGTTTTTTTATTTTTTTATTCATTTCATTTGTAATTAAATAGGGTACAAAGAACGCATGAACCTCGCGGTACGGCGATAAAAACCCTCCAACTACAGTCCACCCACCCGCAAGAAGCCGCCTGGAGAAACCCTCTGGGGTAAAAAAACCCGGACCCATAGTGATGGAGCTGAATACAGCGAGCCCAAAACCTCCAGAGACGTGCAGCAATAAGGAAAACCCCCAGCCTGACAGTGAGACCTAGTTAGACTTCCTACAATCCCCGGGCCCCAGAAAGGAGAAAGGATGCCCTCCACACTCTCCCACCCCCATAGCTTAACCCTCGTGACCCAAACCCCAGCCACCCCGGCACACCCCTCCTACCCTGGTATGAAGCAGGAGAAGAAAGAGCAGCCAAGTGGAGAAAGGGGACAGAGGATGGACATTCGCAGGCGTAAAAGGCCGAGGGAGGAAGCACTAGAACCAGGGGGAGGATGATAAGTCAGGCTGTGTGGCAAGCCAGAAGTAGTCCCGTGCCCACCGGAACATAGAGTAGGAGGCAGTAAGGTGCCAGCTGAGGTGTGGATGACTCCCAGAGGGCAAAGCCGTGATGAAGAGAGTCAGAGCCGAAGGAGGGGGTAGCCGAAGCCGCACAGCAGAGGGGATGCCAGCCCAGTAGTAAGATACCAGCAGAGGATTGGGTGATGCCTGTAGTGACATCAAAGCCAAAAAGAAGGATACCGACTGAGGCTGGCGAGGAGGAAGCAGGTAGAAGAGCTGCTCCAGGAAGGTGAAGGGGGCAACCGAGTACCCGGGCAGTATAGTGCCAGCAGATCCTAAATGGGGAGGAAGGAGGACAGAATGATACAGCAGCCAGGCTGCAACCAGGGTCACAGAACAAAGCTGACTCCTGCACCCAAGCATGATATATTACTACTTCACTCATATAGTCCCTTGTTCTGGGAGTGAAAGCGCCACTTAATAGATGGGATACCACCATCACGCCAGGTAGAGGGGCCCAAGCAAGGCTCCGATAGCCCAGAGGACCACCAGACTGACTGACCATGAAGCCGACCATGCAAATGCTAAGCGAGCCTAGCAAAAGCGGGGAAAGTAGAGGGAGAGGCACCGTAAGACACCCCCAGCAGGGAGAAGAGGCCCCCAAGGCTGAAGCAAGGCCTAGGGGGAGGGATGGTGAGTAGAGGAGGCCTATACCCCCCCAGCTGGGGGGGTGTGAGACCAGAAAAAAGTGGTGATAGTACTCTGGTGTTGAGTCGTTCTCAATTAGGAAATATTTTTCAACTACTGGAGTTGTAACAGAGATGGAGGATGAAAAGCCGAGAAGTGTACACATACTGTACTTGTACTTCTAGGACCATACCATATGAATTGGGAAGACCAATTTAACAGAAGCTGTTCAAATAAAATAATAAAAATATTAGAAGAAAATAGTTGATATCTGGGCTTTGAGATCTGTTTTTCCCCAGTTTTGTATTTCTAGTTTTTGTAGCTGGTAACGGTAATGTTGAAGTATCTGTATCTTCTAAATTTAAAGTTTTTTTTTTTTTGGATACCTGTGTTTTGAGCTCATTATTGTATTTCGTTGTCAAATTTCAGTGTTGACCAGACATGCCACTCCAGGAGAAAATAGAGCTTTGCTGCAAAGCTCGATTAATTGGGGTCAAGACGACGGTTTGATATTGCAACCAAGCATGCCCTTATGCGCAAGTGTATCTAAACTATCTTTGCTGTGGAGAGCTTGAGGCTGAGCGCCACACGCTAACCATGATGAGGAGGTTTATTCGGTAAGATAATGTTAATAATAGTCGATCGCAGGTAGCATGAGTATTGGCATCATTTCTGGATGAAGACCTTTCACCCCACTTGTGCTCGTACAAATCTAGCATAGCAGTGTAAGTATTTAGTGACGTGTTTTCAGACTGGGGGATATGATTAGGACTATTTAAGCATTCTAGTGATGTGTGAGAGGATGTGATGCTTGGATGGATGGTGTGGAATGCTGATCATGTATGCTACTAGGGGTAGGAGGGATGTACTCGGGTATAAGGGTATTTGGCATCCAGTTACACAAGTCTTCTTTTCCTGGATACTATTTCCCCTTTTACCACCACAGCAAGAAGACTGCACAGCAGATCACGTTTGTCCTCCACTACCCACCTTCCCCTACTGGTACAGAACTCTCTATATGGAAAAATATGAAGCAAAAGGGAACTTGTAAGCAGAACCCAATCAATGTTTGACAATGTAAAACCTGTTACACATAGAAGCATAATCGGTGCAGCACGTGACTAAATGCATAAGGTCACGTGTTTGACTCTGGGCCCCGCCACAGTATTCGTAGCGCTAAGATATTAGCACACGATATGATAAGGCATCTATGCAGCCCGCTCCGTGGAGATACGAGGCATGCGACCGAGGGATTTTCACTGGATAACATATAAGGAGCTCCGCTCTATAAGATAAGACTTAGTTGGTTCAGATTGGTCAGTTAGTTATGGAGCTATGACCTCTGCAAGTCTATATGCAATTACAAGAAGTAATATGCATGTCCCTACAGCTTGCGTAAGCTAGAGTCATCCGGAAGACCTAGTTATGATTGGTTAATAACTACTCACTGGTTGAGTTAGTTATCTTCGTCATGCACTCTAAGCTATGCACATAAAAGAGTCATTGATAAGTCCTTTGACGGAGCTGATCACTCCACTCAGGAAGAGAGCGGGGAAGTTAGTTTTCAGGGTTAAACGGAGTTCGCACTCCAAAGACACTGAAGCGTTAGTATGGCAGGTACATAGTCAGTAAGGGATTGGATGTAGGCCGCAACCACCCAGACGCGGAATATAAATATCAAGGTGCCTCCCTAGCTTTAAGTTTATCATCAGCGACCGGAGAAGAGATCTTATCAATATATTCGTTCTACTTTACTTCTATCTTTACGAGCCTTCTTGACTATTTCCGAGACAGAAGATTACAGGGCCTAGTGTATACTCGCTTGACTTTAGAGTTACCTACCCCCTAACAAAACCACAAGTGACAAGCATATCCAGGTTATTACACTTCAGGATACTGCTGGATGGGATTGCAGCCAGATTGGCTGATACCTTAATATTCATTGCCAGACATACTAAAGAGTCAGTATGTACCTATTCTCTTTTAATGAAATATATTTAACTTATTACCTATAGATTTACAAATAGGTGAAAGAAAGTGGCACACCTTCAAATTCTCATTGTTCTGACTGCCTCTCAATCTTCAATGCAGATGAGAAGTAGCGCTAAGAGGCATTTGTAACAAGTAATGCCAGAACATAATAGCTTAGTTGGGATGAGGTATGCCTAGAGATAGGGTATGCATGCAGTCCACGCACAGTAAAAAGCATAATAGAGTCACTTGACTACTATTGATCCATTGCGCAAAGGAAGTTCGCTATTCAACCAACTAACTGTCCTCTTTATATTATTTGGTATTATGAATATTTGAGTTGGATCTACGATGATTGGCTCTGTGTACTGTGGACAGATGAATCAACTTTTTTGACCACTGGCTTTAGGAATCGCCCTTGGGTTATAGGCAAATCAAGTAAGGAGTTTCATGCAGACTGTATTAATGAAGCCTTCAAATCTGGGCATCAGAGCAGGATAGTTTGGGGGGGCTTTTATGGGGCAATACAGTCTAAGTTAGTTCTTATACCTAGTAAGGCTAAAGTTAATTTTGCCTTATATGTAAGGAATATTATGTATCCTTACCTTGTTCCCTTCTGGCATTATTGTTGTGAAGAATATGGGTGGGTGACAGTAGTAGAAGATGGCGTACCTGGTCATAAGAAATATGCCACTCAATACCAGAATCTCAACCAAGTTGAAACTACATGATGGCCAGCCTAGTTCCCAGATTTGAACTTGATAGAAGCACTATAGCTGGATATGGAGAACAAGTTAGGTGAGATATGGAGTAGAATTAGCAATAGAGAGATCGTGGAATATGCTCTGAATACTGTTTGGAATGCAATTCCCAGAGAACAGTTAAAAAATCTGATCAGAAGCATGCCAGACTATTTACAAGCTATTATTGATACTGATAGGAGGACAACTCCATATTGATTTCTGTATATAAACTTTCTTTCTTTATAGCTTATACTCATCAGATATCACTCATAGAACTACCTACTTCTACACTGGACCTGACTTTTTGCCAATACCAAAACATACTTACTAGGTATTATTCATATTTCCTAACCTGGTTTAGACTACAGCCACTCATCAGAAGTGTTTGTGATGGTATATTAGTAAGCTGCCTCACTAAAATCCCACAACTACCTATTCATAATACAGTAGTAAAGCTACCTCGCTGCA